TAATAATAATAATAATAATAATAATAATAACAATAGTGTTTCGGCGACAACAGCATCAAAAGAACTAAAGGAATTGGAAGTTAGTAGTTCCCTATCGACAACGGCAGAAACTACAGAGGAAATTTCCTCTTTGAGTCCTGAAACGACCGTATCAAGTACTTCTATCACGGATGATAATCTATTAAATCTAACAGAGGATTTTCACGATACCAACAAAGTCGATATTGTGATCAAGACTATAGTTGACGAACTAATCGATAAAGTAGTAATAGAATCTTCCAGTTCACCGATTCCTGCCGAAATCGAAAAAGAAACCAATAATAATGATATCAAAGAAAACTTACGAAGGGAAGCGACAACTGAGAAATTTCTTAATGAAACTGCCAAAGAAATCATTGAAGATGTCTTACAACATGCATTTGAAGAGGCCGAGTATGCTGGATCCCTGATTACCGATGACGAAATAAAAGATGAAAGCCTAAAAACAGCTCAGATAGTGCAATCTTTGGTTGAGGAGGTTTTGGAAGAAACAGTAGCAGATGTCGTATCAAAAGCAGAAACACCGCAAGAAACGGTTACCGACGCAATTGATCGGTATATAGAGTGCAATGAGGAAGAAACTCAAACAACCCAAGATGATTTAAATGAACTCTCTGATCAAAATCATCATTCACATCATAATGAAATTGAAAGCCTTAAAGAGATTGAAATTGATCAACACGAACAAGAAACTCAAACTCAGCAAAACGAACCTGAGCAACATCCTTCAGCTGATTCGATGCATATAAAAAATCACAAACAACAAAGTGCTAGCACTCAAGTAGAAAATAATCACTTTGGTAAGCAACGTTTTTCTCATATATTTTTACATAACACCATCGAGCTAATACTAAAGTGTATTTGAAGCAACTCTTTATTACATCTCTTATGTTATATATATATGTATACGCATATAAAAATGTGAGTCGTATCATCCGTGTATAGGATCATTGAAGTGTTCAAAAAAATTTGAAGCACATTGTCACAATTGAGTTCGACCTTGATACAAAGTGAACTTTATTAATGAAATATTCCATGTTAAGTATGATGCAGTAACTGCCGCACTTCAGTTCCGTACTTTCCCAATAGATTAGGCTTAAGAATTATTAGAGGGACAAGCATATCTTTCGCTTAAAGCTGTGATCGGCTATGACGTCATGTTAGCGAACCTCTTCGAATAATAATTTCCTTTATTTTCTTATTCAGTTTTTTTTTTTTTTTTTTTTTTGTGTTTTACAGGCACAAAATAAAAGCGTACACACTTCTTAAATGATTAGGGGCCGCCCTTGTAACAATAGTTCTGTTAATAAATGACGTTTTCGTAATTGACTTTTGCTTTCTCATTGAGGGAATTACAACACAGATAAAATGAATACGGTTTATTTGATTCGAATATAGAGAAAAATAATAGTAAAATGTAAGTAAAGAGGACAAGAAAAATGCTTAAGCGAGTTGTCAGTGTACGTAGGCCAAAATTACGGTCTCAACATTAATTTGAATTACTATACGCTACCTGTGGATGAACTCACTTAATTAAATTCCTTTCGAAGTGTCCTCCCTCTTTCTCCACCCGCTAATAAGTTGGTATATTAGTTGAAACAGTTCGATCTTATTAGTAGTAATTCGACTCACTGAAGTACGACACTTGCAGTTGACCACTCGAAGACAATTTGTTTTCTTCTTTCCCATCACGTCCGGCCTAGACAGCATCCGGATAGCGGCCGGATAGCATCTCTTGCAACGGCGATCAGAACTTTCGTACCTTCTTTGAAATAAACACAATGGTTGTTACAAAAAAGTCCAATCCAAGCCGAATATACTTTTTCGTATTCATCTTAAATTTTTTTAAAACTTATTCCGAAGAAATCAATTTTTTTTTTTCATGCAGAACTTTTAAATTACGTCTTCAGGTTATGTCTAGTTATTTAAATTAGCAATATTTTTGACATTTGACTATATCTGAAAAATGCCCGAAGACATCCTTGAGCTTCAATTATTTCTTTTCCCGTACAGTAGAGCATTTCCTTTTTATTTCACAAGAGTAATTTTTCTTATTTAATCAATAATTGAACGTTGCTTCTATATATATATATATATATATATATATATATTTTTTTTTTTTTTATATATATATTTTTTCTATTTATATACTTTTATTATCAAAAGTAATAAATAAAATAATTCATTTATAATAAAGTCATTTGCTTACGGCTACAAATATTATAATCCGAATAAATGTTTAGATGGAAAAGTGTTGCGGTAAAATATTACCTTTAGTAACTATTACGATAATGGATGGAATAATTGGCCGTAAATAAGTGAAAGCGTGAGACTGGCATAAAATCTGTGTTTAAAATTTAATGCATTTTTTTAACAGCACTTAACCCCATCACCTTTACCTAAACACTTTCATGGCAAAAACCAAAAAAAAAAAAAAAAGACCAGCACAACCTAGTTGTTATACTAGATTTTTGTAACGAATTTCTACGTTTAGCACGAGAAAAAAGCCATTTAAATGTCAGGAATAAGGGTTAAAATTCATGTGCGTTTAGAAGCAACATTAAAAAAAAAAAACAAAAAAAAAAAATAGGAACATTTTCTCTGTTTTCGTTTTAATCGTTTTCCCTTACATTGCCGGTACAAGAATATTCATTCAGTCACAACATGATACTGTTTTTGAAGAGTCATTGAAACAAATTAATATTGAGCTTAAAATATAACGTTGTGGTTTACTTTTAATCTTAATTTGCTTTTGGTATTTCTTTCCTTTAGATAATACAAAATCACGACAAACATCTGCAATACAGTCACAGGTTCAACAACAACAACAACAACAACAACAACAACAACAACAGCAGCAGCAGCAGCAACGTTCAAAAGCTGGCTCAACGCGTCCCATGTTCAGCCCTGGCCCAACACGGCCACCCTTTCGTATACCAGAATTCAAATGGTCTTACATTCATCAACGTTTGTTATCCGATGTTTTGTTTTCATTGGAAACGGATATACAAGTCTGGCGTTCCCATTCAACAAAAAGTGTACTCGACTTTGTTAATTCCAGTGAAAATGCCATTTTCGTAGTAAATACAGTGCATTTAATTTCCCAACTGGCAGATAATTTAATAATTGCTTGCGGCGGCTTATTGCCATTACTGGCTTCAGCAACTTCACCAAATGTAAGCGAAATTCTATCCTTTTATTTCTTATTAAATTGTATTATGTTTAACAGATCATCTCTCAAGGCTTAAGAAAATCAATGTTTCTTTTTTTTAATTAAAGTTTTAAAAGAGCAAATTAACTCCAATTAAGTCCGGAATTGTTTGAAAAACATTCCTAATCATTTATACATCAGATTCTAGATACGAATTTTAAAGGTGAGACGGTATGATAATATTTACCAGTGTTATTACACGCGTTGTTTGTACTAACACGGAACCTGACCGATGAACTAACCACTTAAACTTATACGTAAGGTATTTAATGTTTTACAGAGTGGCATTATTCGTAGATCCGGTTCGACTTGATTTCATAAATAATTGATATTTGATGCGTTAGTTCCTATTTAACATATGTACTCGAATTAGAGATGGGCGTGTTTTTTGGAATACGCATCGATTTTAGCCTTAAGGTACGATGTAAGAATTTCCTCGTCTCAACAAAAGCTTGCATTCGATTTCAAAAGAATGCCGTCAAAACAGAATAATGTCTATCTGTCGGTTCTTTGTTTTTTTTTTTCTTTTACTCCAAGTTTATAGCCAAATTAAAATAGAAGTGTTGAGTTTTTGCCGAATTTGAGTCACCTCCCATAAACCAAGCGTAAAGATTTTTAAACTTGGATTAAAGAATATGATAGGAAAGTATTTTAACACCAAGTATGTCCTTCTAAATCGACCCACAACGGATATCGACGGAATCAAGGTGTTAATTGATTTCGACTAGTATTCGTAAAGAATTCGGAGATCGAGTGTAACCTTAGTATCGATTGATCACTTCACTTGCATATAAGTTCATATTTGCTTAGCCTTTCGTTCGTGTAACTCTCGACGAGGTGCTACCATGTATATAAAATGTGAATAATATTTAGGGTGTTTTAAGAAGAAGTATCATATTTTTGTCGCCCAATAAAGCTACTAACTATCTCATGAGTTGTGTGACAAGATAGTGCTTGTCTTGCTGACAATAAACGTTTTCCCCATCCATAGCAGCAATTTAAGTCCAAAAAAGAAGAAGCAATTCAGCAAGTCTGCATTCACTGCAACGTTCGAATCAACAGCACCTTCGGAAGAGCATGAATCAAATACAACGCCAGCGCAGAAAATATTTGCTCGAATATTTCTGTGATAGTTTTGCTTGTTTACATACTGACAGGCTGATTCGCATGAGTCTCATCACACAGAATATATGTACTTAATAATGAAAATAATTGTTGACTTTGGTATATTTCAATGTGTTATGCAAATGAGCCTATGTCGATTCATATCTAAAAATCATCTAACTTTTGTTCGTCAATTGTCATTCCAATGACACTTGTATATTGGCAGTTCAAAAATGGTGTGAAATTTAATGTAATGATACATCTTTTCGAAGGATTCTGTATGTAATTGTTCAGTTTATTCTGCAATCACAACATATTATATAAAATAATGATGCGAAAAATTGTCAAAAAAAAATGTTTGGAATCCGCTAATAGCTGTAGCGGAGAAGGGGAAGAGTTTTTCGAAAACAAAAGGTACAAAATTACTGAAATTTGGTAGCAAAGCTTTTCGCAATAACCTTAGCAGCGGTAAACTCAATAAAATAGTTCTCAAAAATACGGATAATGACATTGCGAGCTTTAGTTGAGGGTAAAGCTATAAACGATACATACGATAACACCAATGTTAAAAAAAAAAAATTACATGACGAATAGTCAATGGTTTAACATTAAATTAACCCTTTGCACCCGAACGGCGCGCGAGAGACGCCCTAACTATTATTAATAACATTGTACGTTAAATTGTGTACGCGTTGCAAATTTTCTTACTTGGTGTGAGATTAATCCGGTATATATCAAATGGTGGACACTTAGATCATTCAGTGTGAACAGTATAGTGTTTCTGCCAAAATCATTTGGTATTGGCAAAATTGTTTGGTATTCTGTTAAGCGAAAGCAATGGTGATTAAAATTACTTTTTCATGACTTAAGGTCATGAAAATGGAATCAATGAACGAAATTTGTGCTGGCCGTGCTTCTACATTTGCAACTAACGATTATACGGTACGCTACATGTGTTGCAAAAAGGAGAAAGAAATGATTGGAGAGATTGTTCTGACCGAACGAAAAAGAAAAGCGGAAGAAGTGAAAAGGTGTATTACTGTGACACATGTCTTGAAAAACCTAGGATACACCTTGGAGAGTGCTTCCTCAAATATCAAATAAATTAAAAATTTAATATTAAAATATTATTTTTGTAGTACGTAAATAAAAATGAAACATGTAAATAAACTTCTTTTGTTTAAAACTCTTATGTTTGATGTGCTACAATTTTTTATTAAAATTACTGTCGGATAGCTGAATACCCATACTAAAAAATGATTCACGTGCAAAGGGTTAACATAAAAAAAGACATGAAAATATCAATGCATAAAATGACATGATATGCTATAATACAGAATGAATACAACAATATGATGGCAAATGGAAAAAATAAATTTAATAAATACTAGCGCCAGAAAACGTTGTGGAAGACCATAAAGGTGCTGATATCAAAAAGAGATTGCCCCGAAATAAAATAAAAACTAAGAAAGAATGGGAAGAAGATAACTGACGAGAAATAAGTCGCCAATGAGCTTAACATATCTTTTAGTGATAGAGAGAGTGTACAGCAAATAGTGGGCAGCATACTATCAACAATAGTTGAAAAAATATATTTGAAAACGTCAGAGAAGACAACATAGATTCAGGATATAATTTGACAGTTATAATAACAGTTATAATCTGCAAAACATAATGAGGACAATGAATAGGATGAAAAGGATGAAAACCTCTTGACATGCTTTTAAAATGCTCTTGGACAACTACGATATGACTAGGACGCAAGTACGCAATTTAATAACAAAATCGCAAATACAAAATGGAAAAGAACCCGAACAAATACGGCCGAGTAACATGATAACTGATTATTTTGATGTTCAATGAATTATTTATTAAATGAAACCCACTCGGGCGTTACCATAACTGTCAATGTCGTTTTTTTAGCTTGATTTTGCAACGTAAGGGGAAAGAGAAATGGTAAATAAGCAATGTTTTGTGGCAGTGTTCTTCAATTTAAATTAAAAAGCATTTGAAACATCAAACTGACAAATCTTGATAGAAAAACCTATTTTGAATAAAAGCAATTGGATTGAATGTTTAAGGCCTTAAAGGTTTTTTATAAAACAGAGATCAGAGAACGAAATGCCGGGAAAATATATCATCAAACCGAGAAATTGATGTAGGAGGGCCACAAGGAGCAGTGTTGGGAGCATTGCTGATCCTAGTCTGTATTAACTACTTACAGAAGGTGTTAAAATATGTATGTTTGCAGATGTTATTCTTATTTATATAAGCGAAAAAAAACTGCAATTAACGCGTTAAGCATCTGAACGAGAAGTTGACACAAGTGGACAAATATTTGAAAATTAACGAATTAAAAATTGACGTCAAGAAGACCGACGCAAAACCGATATAGTGGGCCAGGGCTCACCATTAGATAACCGACGTTGTCGTGCAGGTATTCATGTAACGACTTTCTAAGAACCATTGTATAGGAAGCGGTTGAAAGAGTGGTTTGTTACGAACCACTTTCACTTTGTGTAGGCTGAACACAAGAAAACTATAAGGACAGACAAGCTTAAATCGATTTAGAAAGCGGTCTTAGTCGGTATAATAAATGGCGGTAAAGATCTATTTTAAGTCCTTTTAAGTGTTGTCAACATTCGCACAAACTTAATATATCCTTGCACCACAAGTAGTGCAGAGTATAAAAAACCATGGTGATAAATGGTAGGGCTAATCAAAACGTTGTCGTTGATGAAGACCAAATGTAGCTGGTAGAAGTAATTGAATATCTTGGAATCATCGTAGATAGATATCTTAAGTTGCAGTCGCAATTTGATTACATCTCCGAAAGAATGTAAAAAAAAAAAAGGAAAAAACTTTTCTTTATAAGACTTCGACGCGAATATTCAACAAAACAATGACAGCAATAAATGTATGCAGGTATACCGAATTGTCTAAAATGGCTCTCTGCTAATCAAAAATTCGTTAATTAGTTAGTTAGTCAGTTAGTCTTTAATTTGAAATGAACAAGTAAGGAACTTATAATCAGGAAAGACCTAAAAAAAAGGAAAAAAAACTAAATTTCCTTTCAGATGTAAAATTTATGGCGTTTCTGAAGCTCTTTTCCTGCTGCTGGAAACGTTTTGAGGAAAGAATGAAATTTCAATATTCTATAATATCGAGTGGCCGTGACCAACTTCCTGCATTTTTGTACAAATGCTGCAGAATATAAATCCAAGTCGTTATCGTTGTATCCGTGTTGGTTTGAAAGTAGCGAACAAAAGTTCAAATTTCTTTAATTTTGGTAAACAGAGGTGGTTTCAGGTTACGATACAGCATGGGCTGCATCCGTTTTTCCATAACCTTTTTCCATTTTCCATCATGTACAAATCAAATACATAATGCGGACAGACAAACAGGGAGACGAATACGCTTATATCGATTTAGAATTTGAAAATTGATGCTGTATGTATACGTCACAAAGTGAATATACCACTCATCCTTTGGTGATAAGCATAAAATCCGATTGTTACCAAATTAAATGCAAAGATAATTGGTGTGCGTAATTTGTGATATCCAGCTTTACAAATTAAAGAAATGCAAGTGACTTCGGACTTAATATTAAAAAAACTAGTTTGTCCTAAAATGTATTATTTTACAAATGACTAAAAATGTACATTGAAACCCACGAGGCCAATAAAAAAAAGCAGAGAGTAACATGTTTATAACTAAAAGTAAAATTATGGTATATTTAAGAAGAGTTGGGAAAAATGTTGAAAAAATCTGCAAAATACCTAATTGTAATAATTATTAAAGCATGAACTATTTGAAATAGCAACGAGCTATAGAAAATAAAAGAACAATTCATTGAGCTTCCTACTACTTTCTCTCTAATCAATCCAGCTCATACTTACCCACACTGGATGTTTAGAAAGAGCGATAGATTGGTAGATGGGTAGCTAGATAGATATATGAATAGAGAGTGAGAGAGTGGGAGAGAGAGAGAGAGAGAGAGAAAGAGAGAGGGAAAAAAGGAGGGGGAGAGCAAGTTCAATACGTACATACCTATGAATCCATGAATAATGAAATGTATGAACCGATAATAATAAATTTCTAGATAATAACTGGGTGATGTGCCTAAACTTTTCAGAAGAGTGATTTTTAAAGGAGATAATTACAAGTACATATGTTTGAAAATTTTTCTTATATATATCGTAATAAATAAATGAAAATATTTATTAATTATTGCAGTCTGAATTGGATGTTTTGGAACCCACTCAGGGTATGCCCTTGGAGGTGGCTGTATCGTTTTTGCAGCGTCTCGTTAATATGGCAGATGTGCTAATATTTGCAACTTCGTTGAATTTCGGTGAATTGGAAGCTGAAAAGAATATGTCTAGTGGCGGTATATTGCGGCAATGTCTACGCTTGGTGTGCACATGTGCGGTACGCAATTGTCTCGAGTGTAAGGAACGTACACGTTATAATGTCGGAACAATGGCTCGCGATGTGCCGGGTGCACAGCACTTACAAGCGTTAATACGTGGTGCACAAGCATCGCCCAAGGTAACAACAAATTTACTTCTTCGAGAGAAATATTTCCTTCCCTTTTTTTTGACTTTTACTTTTGCTTGCTATATTTATTTATCTTTTTTTTCACCTTTTTTTCCCCCCTTATATATAGTTTGTCTGGTTTAGTTCGGTTTAGTTTGGTTTCTATGCTTTTGGGTCTTTTTAAGTATAGTCTGTGAGAGAAGAAAGCACTGGCATATAATTGTTGTTACTTCCCTAGCGTAACTGATACAATAGCTGCGAAAATATCATAATTGAAGCGAGCAAAACAAGCTTTTCATTGTATTGTACGTACATGTGCAGTCGCGTTCGAAAAAAGTGTGCAAAATTAAATACAATGCTTTGACTTAACAAGGAACTGAATGCATGCGAATGCCACGATATGAATCAGCTTTGAATTGTGCACCTTTTTCTTTTATTTTCTTCTTTCGCTTCATTCAGCTTTACTGTTTGCTTCATTGTATAAACTTCTTAAAGGTTATAAACGCATGTACGTATTAGTCTGTTCGCCAACACACTGCTCGAGCTCTGCTGAATGATTTCAATGCAATTTATATACGATGCTTTTTTTCCTTATTGAAAAAACGTTTCTATTTTTATTTTCCACATGTGCTCTCATACATTTAACATACATACATACAACAACTGCTTTCTTTTCTTATTATTATTATCATAGAAAAGTCCTACTACTACGAGTACAAATGTTTTATGGAGTTTTGTATATTTTTATATATATATATATATATATATATATATATATATTTATTTATTTATTTATTTTCTTCTTTTTTTTTTATAGAACATTGTCGAGTCAATAACAGGTCAATTATCCCCAGTCAAGGATCCTGAAAAATTGTTGCAGGATATGGACGTGAATCGCTTAAGGGCAGTTATTTACCGTGATGTGGTAAGTGGCCATTACATTCATTTCGAGTACGTGACTTTCGTATACTTCAAAGTATTTATATATTCCGGCATTAAATTTCTTTTGATAAACGAAAAAGGAAAGCAAAAAATAAAATAAAAACAGCGGATAAAATTTGCGGGTACGAAAAACAGGAAAAACAAATATAAACAACATTTTTAAGGGATCAGGAATTCCTTGTATGTAACAAACCTTCTTACGAACTTTATAAAGACAATGAACTGTTAAGTAAGAGCAAGGGAACGTGCTGTAGAGAGAATACAGTTATTCTCACCGGTATTGGAAATTACTTTTATATCTATATAACAATTTTATATACTCAAGCTTTTCCTTCGATTTCTGTTTCATTAATATCGAATTATCTTAGAAATTAACAAAACCAGTTTTTAAATTTTCTTCCAAAGAAATATTCAGAATTCGAAAACTTTGAAGCGTTCCATAAACGTTCAAAAGCAGATTTCCCTTTCTCTAATCGAAAAAGAACCAAAAAAAGCGGACTCTTTGTAATTGAAATTCGATTTCGTGGGCTACACAAGTTCTTATTTACTTTGTGATAATAAACATATAAAGTTTTTGACTACGCATATTTGGCTTACCTTTACGAAATTCATGAAGGCGCGCCTAAATCCATCTTAAGAGAAGAAAGAGCAAAATTATACAAAATGTCTTTTTTTTGCTTGTCCAAGGCCAAGCAAAGACGGTGTAAGACAATGCAGACGATTACTCAATGTGAAATCCTTATAACACTACTCGTTATTATCCATTATTGCAATCTTTATAAAGGCATACTTCATAATTAATTAACTATATCGAATATACATTAAACAGCATTTACACTGACTTTCCATACCTTTTTCGCTTCGCAATTACTTGTCCTTAAAAAATTATAAAAAAAGTTTTTTATAACATACATAAGTGAAATAGTTGTCTCCCGTTAATATATTTCAAGAATGGCTTCGCTTTGTTTAATTTAAAAGTTCTCTTCGCTTTCAATTAAAAAAACACATAAAACCATTATAGCAGATCACGACTCAACATTAAATACGCTGCAACTTTTCGCTTAATACCGTTATTCATTTACTTACTTTTCAAAACAAGGCGAAATATGGGAATTGTTTGAAAATGGGGTCCTAACATTGATCGATTGCCAACAGCGTTGGTGCTTGAGCCAAATCACGTCGATGTACCAAATTTCTTCAAAATACCTCAAAAATTGTTATCTATAGGTTGAACACAGGTAAATGGCAAGGAGGCAGACGGACAGGCAGATAAACTTAAATCGCGTCAGAATGTACTTCTGATTCAGAAAGTGATTCTGAGTAGACTGCTATAATAAATGATGGGTCTATCTCAGCCACACAAATCGAGTACACCTTTGAAGAGGAATCTGAAAAGCATACACAACTCTTATGATTCGAAAATGTCGATGTCGTGGTTTAAAGTAACGGTTATATATTTGTCCCAAGGCGAATATAGCTTTTTGACTTAATTTTGCGAGAAAAAAAAAAAAAAAACGAAGAAGTGCGTAAGCACAGCCCGAATCAAAAAGCATGAAGTTTGTGCGGCCGTATGTAACATCCAGAAGGGCTTAAGATAGATCACACTTTTATTATATTGATGGATTGAGGATCATTTTGTGAAAGAATCCCAGCCCGTTTATCCGTCTGAAGTCTGCCCATGTATTTTTCTGTCCAACCGACAGGTCGCAATTTTTGAGACATTTTGATGAAATTTGATGCACTGGCGTGGTTTGACCCAGGGATGAACGGTGTTGTAAATGATTTGGATCGCTCCACCTTTTCGATCATCCCCTATAAAAAAACAGGGTTCGAGATTCTAAATTGGTGTAAAAAATTTGGTTCGGTTGGGGCAAGTTTCTTGAACATGCTTTGATAAAACAGTTCCTATGAAAATTGAACGTTTATACGGTAAAAAGGTATAATTTTCAATATTTCATGGGGAAAATTGATTCATAATAGTAAATTAAGAGGGACATCAACACTACCGAGTTAAATGTTTTTAACTCATCTTTTCGATGGCCGGCCCTTATAACTTTAGTTCGATATACATTATAGCTGATATAGAACTATTGAGAACTTGATGATTTCTTTCATTTTCGTTTATTTAGGGGATACTTGATCCGCTTTGTGGCGCTAGACTTAGTTTTGGTTTTCTAGCTCATGTGTTTTTTTCGTTTTTTGGCCATGGAAGTTTCAACATGAGCCTAGAGACGCGAGTGCGAAATCGTAAATGACAAATGGCAAATAAGCATAAATAAATTGGACCAGGAGTCTCTACTTTAGACGTTCCGAAGCCTATTTGCAGATGAAATGATAAAACTAATATACTTCCATCAATTCTTAAAAACATTTCTGAATTTCTCTCTGCGTTTTTGTTTTTGTAGGGAGCGTGATTTTTTTAATTAATAAATATTTTCAATCAAAAGATTAGTGTGTTTGCTATAGTTTGCTATAATTTCTGCAGATGTACATAACAAACGCCTCGAATATCTACTGAATTAAACATTTCATAAGTCATATATGTTACTTTGTCGATCTAAATAGAGAAGATATTCGACAAGGATTACCTTAGTTCTGATCGCTCTTCATAGTAAGCAGATTTTACAAATCTTCTTCACTGAAAGGGCTTTATATCCACTCCCAGAAATTTTCATGAGCTTAGACATTGCAATGATTACGGTAGCCGCAAAATGATCAGAAAGATGGGGAGATTAAACAGACAATGATGAAACAGTAGGAGTCCTATAAACAAAAATGAATGATCTGCACATCCCTTTAGCTGAAATAGAAAATGAACAAATCGATCATTTTTTAATCAACATTCATTCAGCCATGCTTGATAAACCATACTCATTGAGATTTTATTAAATATCTTACTTGACCAAACAAGCGAATTCCTCCTTTAAGAGACAGGTCCGGAAGTTGGTGTAGAAAATGATATGAAAAAATCCAAAATTTTTATGGAAAAGAAACATTTTAGGCAACTAATATTTGTGAGACTTCAGACGCAGAATAAATATTGACTTTTCTAGACAGCTTATCGATTAGCCTACGAGACGTTTGTATATCGGCCAATAAAATCAAGGAAGAGTTGGGCAAACTGAAAGTCAAAATATCTCTACGTTATGAATGCATGAATGGAATAACGACTAAATCTTTACCACCTAAAGCTGTTACTTCCTTAACGACAGTTTTCAATAATATGTTAAGATGAAATTACTTTCCAAATTAATGGAAGCGCACGGCAATAATTATGGTAGATAAACCTAATGAAACAGAAAATATTTCACCCTGGTGTCGACCAATTAGTTGACTGGTAACGTCTTTTAAAATCTTTGAGAAAATACATTTATGAAGACTAGAGCAAAAACTTATTACTGACCACCAGCCCGATTTCAAGAATAAACATGATACCATTGAGCAATGTCGTCACGTTGTTCTGAACATTGGAAAAGCCATTGAAAATAAAAATTATTGGGTAGATTAATTCCCAGATGTGTAAAATGTTTTCAATAAAGTCTAACATGACGGGTTAGTTTTTAAATTTAAAACATCTTTTACTTTTACTACAAAACTTTGGTATTTTGTACTTAAATCCTATTTACAATATGGACATTTGTTCATTGTTCAAATTGGGCGTATAGTGCCTCAGAAACATGCTCTTAGTCTAACATTCTATAAAATTTTCATGTCAGATTTTCCGATCGCCGGTAATATTTTAACTGCGACATAAACTAATCGTCTTTTCACCGCAGTTATCGCATGAATGCTTCCTACGAAATACAAGCTCAGCTCAGCTCAGTTCAGTTCAGTTCAACTGGCTTTGGCTGAAAAATTGGAATGTTTAATTAAATAATGAAAAGTCTATGAACGTTACGTCTACGCTAAGTACGGGTTCTTATCCTTCACTATTATTGAACAACTTGCCTCCCTACCAACAACTGTGTAAAATATTTTCACTTACATATTAACTAACTCATCAACTTAATCTAATTAATAATAATAAAGGTATTTTACGCAAAAGTATTCTCTAACCTGTGGCATACAATTGTGGGGAGTAACCGGTTACTCTAATATCGTAATACTTAAGAAATATTAATCTGAGACTCTTCGTCTTACTGTTAGCAGCAAACCTATTCATGATGAGACCTGGTCTTTTCACTCATCAAAAATCTAATTCAACGCATTCCTGCAAAATCACGCAAATCCCTTCCAAATATCGCTTTTAGATGGAAACGCATCCATAAATTTGATGTATAATAAAAAGGAAAAAAAAAATATATGCGAGTTGGAAAACTGCACTTAGTTTGCTTAGAGATAGTCGCAATATTCCTAATTATAGAGTTTACCAAAACCTCGATCTTTAATCATCCTTCGGCGATGGGGATACATTCATTTTGTCAAAACCTTTGCAATACCCAAAGAGAGGCTACGAAAATCCCATCAAGTGTATTATATATTCTTGATCTGGCTGCTTGCGTAATGTTTATGGTAAACAATCATTCGATAAAAAACCTCAAAGTTCTTGCACGCAAGTCTGTATAGAAGATGGGTAATTTAGTTAAAGAGCTCATCTACGGGCGAACATGAGTTGAGAGCACTTACGCTCAAGCAAGTGCTGATAGTATACGTTGTCCGCCACGATATCTAGCACTGATTTCTTAAAAACGCAATCCATTTATTTAATGCAAATAAAATTATTTTTTTAACATTTCGACTAAAAGCTAAAACGATAAAAGCGGTTAATTAATTAAAAGTTTTATTAAGCTATCACAGATTAAACTGATATCAGTGCTTTTCTTGCAGTGTAAGTTTTTCGTATTTGAAATTAAAACAAGTTTTAATATTCCATTTTTGGGTGTGCCAATAGAGGGATCATTAGATAGTTTTAACAAACTACTTTAAGCACCTATTGCTAACTATCATAATCACTTCACTTCCGTGAAGGTGAGATCATTAAATCTTTTCTGCACTTGTCCTCGCGAAGCTGATATATTCTTGGACAAGTCTCTTTATAAAGCGTTTTGTGAACGAATCCATAACAAATGATAAGATTGCTTGCAGGTGGCCAGTTTGTTCTACTGATTATTATTAATTAACGAATCATTTCTGTAACGTCGGCCAATATCCAGGATAAATGCACGTTATTACTACTTATAATTAAGCCTCTGAAGGGCCTCTGAACATAATTTACATCATATTCATGGCATTCGCAAAAGACATTCTGGTTGAAAGAAAGAAAATTAAAATTAATTCTCTGCTTAACAAGAGCGTCTGACTAAATTATCTGCCGATACGTTTTGCAATGAGCCGTATGTCTTCACAGAGCTTGGTTTTTTTTGTTTTTTCCTTTTCGTTTTTTGTTAACATTCATTCACAACGAACGTTTAACGTCCTTACAAGAACTACTACAACTGACAATATCTGAAATGTTGCATTTGTTGGGTTTTTATTTTAGGAGGAAACGAAGCAAGCGCAATTCCTGTCATTGGCCATTGTGTACTTTATTTCAGTGCTAATGGTCTCAAAATATCGCGACATATTGGAACCACCAGCTGAGCCACAAATACAGCGGCAATCACCTGTCATGCAACGCACAGCGGGCGGTAAGTACTGATGCTATCTCATATGTTTTATTTTCATATAACAATGAATCTTAAGTTAATTTTATTGAGTTTTTTTTGGTTTTTTTTTTTATTATTACTACAAACGAAAGAAACAAAAAAACTGAAACAAAATTATAAATGGAAAAAAGCAACTGCACTAAAATTTCACCTTGAAATTTTTTATTGAAATATTATTTGTTTAAGTAGTCAAATATTATTTATATATATTTTCCAATACATATATTCAAGAGGGTAGCTAAGCTATAATTTAATTTGATTAAGTTTAAAAAAAATTTATTTAAAAAAAAAAAAAAAAGAAAACCGGAAACCGGAAACCGTCGAAAATAAGTTATATTCCTTTGAAGTGAATCTTCATTTTTATTATCATTTCATATTACGATAAATGTTACCCTCTTTTTACGATAAGTGAATCTATGATGAAACATAACCCGAAATAGTATTTGTTCTTACTATATGTGTGAACACGAAAACCAATTACAATCCTTTTCCTTTGAAGTCTGTATGAAAATTCCAAATTTTGTAGTGTAATTATTTCTCTACCCCATCCTCAGCTCTCCGAATCCCTTTCTTAGCTCACTGATTTCACAGTCAAAAATTAATGTATTGCTGATCATATTTATCCCATTTTTTGTAACGATATTCTTTTTCTCTATTCTTTTTTTGTTTTATTTTTGTTTTTTTTTTTTGTTTTTGTTTGTAACACTTTTGCTTTGGAACTCATGCTGCTTTATTATCGGATATTATTTTTTCTGTAAAACAAAAAAAAAAAAAAAAAATTGCAAAAAACGAAAAAAAAAAAAAAAAATTAAATACGACGCGTGTGTAAATATATATAACGAAATTGTTGTGCCCTTTTGTAACTCCACCATTACTCTCATGCGCATCATTTACTTATTCTCACATACAATGGCCTCTTTCCGTAACTCTGCTGCTCTTCAATTTGTGCACCAACATTGTTCGTTTGTACTTTATTTATGTTTCTGTTTTTTTGGTTCCGTCAATGAAATTTACACGACCGTGTTGTGTTGTAAAAAACAAAAATGAAAATGAAAAAAAAACAAATAATAATAATAATAATAATAATAATAATAACAATAATAATAATAACAATAATAATAAAACAAAAAATTCCATACACTTACGTTTGTTGTTTCAATTGGTAATTGATGTGTGTTGTTATACATTTTGTTTTACACATGTATGTGAACCATTGCTTTCTCTTAAATGCTTTCACTCGTCTCATCCACGTTTATATCATATTGGTTTTTCTTTGAAAATATTTTGTTTATTTTTTCTCACCTAATTCTTTTAATTATTTCCGGACATTCAATAATTCAATTTGGCCCTTTTCTTTCCGTCATTCGCTTTGGTTTGCCGCAATCGATTCCAATTTTCTTAATTTCGCGTTTTGTTGGATGATGTATCGAACAACATCAAAAATAACTTTTATTTGTTTTTCCTACAACTGCTTATCTCTATCTGCTATTTCAAAATGACTCAATTACTTACACCTCATGCTTTTCAATACTTTCTCTTTTTTAATTGTTACGGGGCTGGTTTTGTGTTTTTTCTTTTTTCTTTCTTTCTTTTGTCACTGATTGCTATCATTTATTCATTTATCTTTTATGATCCCTGTATCTTCCATTTCTTTCCTTTCCGTGTACATTACATTCTGTAAATTTTACGCCTCTCAATATTTGATTGGCAAAAACTTTTTTTAAATCATTCTCAACTGACTTGTATTTTACTTAATCTCACTCTTTTCATTAACACGCTACTGATCTCATTCCTTATTTTATTCCGCTCATACTCATCCTCGCTCCCAACATTCATTTTATTTCCCTTGTTGCTTGTTCTCTTCAAAAAAATATTTCGATCTTTTCGTCATTTTCCTCCGCAACTTAACTTTTTATTTTCTTATATGCTTTATTCTGTGGACTTATTCTCTTATCTACTTTGATTTTAAAAACCCACTTTTTTTCTCTCTTTGGTTGCAAAATTTGCAAATATCTTCTTTTCCTTTGATCCGACACTTCTTATCCTCCTACATTCTGTTTCTCTTTCACTTTCTCTGCATTGTTCTGTTTTTTAACGCTTACGCTTTACATGAATTTTGTGTTTCTTCTTTCTCTTTATTCTGTCTTTGTCTTTCGGTTTTTCTTATTTCCGTTTCTGATTGCATTTTTGTGCCATCTTTTTGAGTCAAAACGTTCTTTCTATCTCTCTTACTCTTTTGCTTCTCTTTCTCTTTCTCTTTTGTTTTTTTTTTTTTTTTTGAATTCGCCTTTATGTCATCCCTATTCTCTCGCTATTGTTTATTCCTATGTTCTTAAATACTTGTTCTGCTTTACTTTAATCGAATTTTTTTCGCTAAACTTCGATATCGTCCCAAACCATTTGAGTTTTTCTTGCTTACCCGTTCTTCTTCTTCGCTCTACTGCCCCTCTTCTTGTAAACTATACTTTTAAAATTTTTACACATTTGACGGTTTCTTTCGGGAAATCGGCCTCGTATTATTATTTCATTTTTTTTTTTTAACCTTCTCCCGTCTTTTATCCTCTTAAACTCTGGTCCTCTCTTATTTGAAAATGTTAATAAATATATATATATATATATATATATATACCATATACCATATATATATACCATATATATATGTATATATACGTATATATACGTATATATATATATACGTATATATTTCATGTTTAAAAAATGACAAAAACAACAAAACAAAAAATCCTTTGCAATATAATAATAAAGAACCCTCAGGACGTCCTTTATTTCCGCAATGGTCACATCATGTGTATCCACAATTTTTACCCGGTTCACATCATCATAATCATGTGTCAACAGCAAATATGCAACAACAACAACAACAGCAATCATCAACAGCAACAATAACAACACAGCAACATGCCACTCAACAACATCAGCAGCAACAATTTTATTACCAACAGCATCAACAACAGCAGCAAATGTCATCGCCGCCACATCAACAAACGACTTATTTGCAACATAAGCACCATCACATCACTGCCGCACATCATCATTCCCAAGCACAGCAACAGCAGCAACAACAACAGCAGCAGCAATACTATCAGCAACACAATCACAATATGATAAACAACTCAAGTTATGCGGGTAATGTATCGCCACCCCTAGCCAATCAATCGACAAGCCCTTCGACCTCGTCTTCAGCTACGTCACAGCCCGCTTCAAGTTCTTCGCTATCGAGTTTGGCATCACAGCCGCACCATCATCATACGCAACATAGACATATAGGGCAAAAACACCATCACTATCATTTACATGCACAGCAGCAACAGCAACAACAACACCAGCCACCACAACATAACACAGCTTCAACAGCAACGTCAAATACAGTTGGTACTGGCCACTACAACAATATGATAAATGGTGGCGGAAGCAACAATCAAGTGTTAAATGGAAAAATTTCAAGTAACGGAACGCAACAGCAACACAATTACAACGCACACGATATAAATGGCAGTAACATTACATATCATCATCACCATCAACAGCAACAGCAGCATCAGCAACAACAACAACATCAACAGCAATCCTATATAAGATCTTCAACAATGATTATGAACGGCGTTGGAAGTAGTGGTGGTGGCATTGGTGTAGGTGTTGGCGGTAATTCTCATCAAAATAGTCTTGTGGACTATCATATACAACACGGCCTGCTAAATGGTGTTGGTAATGTTCACCACAACAATAATAACAACAACAGCAACAATATTAATATTAATAACGATAGTAATAACACTATGGCAACGTTTAATAACAACAATCGCAATATACGTAACGGTCATATATTAAATACAACAGCAGTAGGTGATAATGGTATTGGTGGAGGTGGCAGCGGTGATGGTGGAGGAGGTGGTATGAATGTTGTTGCTCCTACGTCATGTAAAACTAATAATGGCCTCAACAATAACTATCGCTATAATGGACGCACCTCAACCGGAACAGGTACTGCTAGTGTGTATGACTGTATGAGCTCCTGTATTAGTTTGAGAGTCTCTATGTATGTATGTATGTATGTATGTATGTATGTATGAATGTGGGCGCGCGCGTATGCATATGAGTGTATGTACGTACGTATGGGCGTGTGGATGGATGTATGCGAGCCAATATGAGTGAGTGCGTTTTGATGCGCGCTAGTATTTGTATGTGTGCGTGAATGTATTGCCCCTTTTGTTTATTAAATACAACACAATATAATTAGTTGCGTGTATTGCTTTTAAATTGATTTTCTTTGTGTTCTCTACTTTCGCCTTAGAAAAGCTTTTTTAAGTGTACGATTTCTTAGCCCTTGTTTAACGTTCATTGATCGTTACGATTGTTAATTGTTAAACCCTTTTTGTTCTATTCTTTTTTGTTTTGTTTTCTATTCATTGTTTTATTGTGGAGAATAATTACCAGCTACCTTCTTTTGTCCATCTTTACGAAAATCTCTTCATTTGCCGTTTGTGTCGATGATACTTTTACGTTGAGCACATTTCGTTTCCTTTTCTCTCTCTTTCTATGCCTCTCTTTCTTTCTTTCTCTCTCTCTCTCTCTCTCTCCCTCTCTCTCTTTCTTACTCTCTCTTTCTTCCTTTCTTTCTTTCTTTCTTTATCTTTCTCTTTCTCTTTACCTCTTTCGCTATATATCTCTATCTCTATCTGATTTGACCAGCCATCTGCTTTATGCACTAATCGCACTGTATTGTTCCGTAATCGGCATGTTAAGCATTTATAAGAAAGAAATATTAAAGCAACGTAAGAAATCTTTTTAAATTGTCATGATTATTATTAAAATTATAAATACGAAAATGCATACATGAAATGAAATCCTGAAAGATGAGCCGTAAGTCAAAAGTTGTTATATCCTTTCACCCAAGCTCAGTCATCAGCAGCAGCTTCTAGAGCAATAATTTGATATAACAAAATACTTGTAGCCGTGAAACTAAACTTATCTCGGTTTTCTATGAAACAAGAATTTTAGAACGATAATGTAAGCTTATGTCCGCGATGTTTATATTTTCAATTAGCAATTCGAATATTAAAGGATCAAATCACTGTAACAGCCCAGAAAAAAAAAACCATATCCATGACAATTTTTTTTCCATATGTCGCAGAGCGAATTACTCGTACGAAAAGATAATGTATGAAAACATAATATACAGAGAAAATGAGAAGATAATTTACAATACGATAGACGAGTTGATAGAAACACTGAATTTTTCCAAAGCGGACTCATTATATTCAACCGGCGTTTCGGTTCTCTGGACGGAGCTACGTGCGATCTTTTTGTACCTCACCCAGGTCCACTGTTGCCTTACTCAATGATGTTAGATTACAACAACAACAAATTATGACAAATCGACACAACACATAATACTTTTAATTTCAAGCGAACAGGTTATATCCTTCTATAGCAGACTAACGTTTACCATTTAAATAACAATATTGATTTCTTTTCACATATTCTTAAGAAAAAAAATTAATTTTCTGGGATAGTTATAGCGACATGCACAGCATTAATCCACAAGATCGAAGGCCTTTAAAAAAAAAAAAAGTGAAACATTCCAAAAGAGAAAGATTTTGTAATTTCTTATGGATTCCAACACTCGAAGCTATTGTTCCCTACGTTAGCCCTTAAATGCATAATATTGCCAATTGTCTACAGTCAAGTTTCATAAAATCTTCAAGTTAATCTCTCAAAAAAATTTAAATAAAAAAAATTTAAAATAAAATTAGCAACAATATGCATTTGAGGGTTAAAAAGAAAAAAACACTATCACATCGCTACGTATTTAAGGGTTAAAATTTAAACCACAAATGGTTCTGCGGGAGGAACTTTTTGAAAATACAATAGACCCTCTACAAGGTCTTATGTCAATTTGACATTGGTTGCGTCCGTTACATGAAACCTGAAATTCCTAGCTGAGATTCAATATTATTAGTCAATTTCATGTATGAAAGTCTAACGATAAAGAACGAAAGCTCTTCGACGCTTTAAAACGAATTCCATTCTTTACCGGAACGGTCAACCAATGCATAACTCACCTAAGGATGTGTTCTCTTATCATTTAAATAGAAGTTCGTATTGATTTTCTGTAAGCATCAAATCTCACCTGCCATCAAAGCAAATAATTTTATGCTATATTTGTGAGTCAGTCAAATAAATTCTGAAATCAAATTTAGAATCGATTTAATCATACTTTTCCGTTTCTGTTTACTGTCCATATATTTTTGTTTTCAACTTACACGTCGAATTTTTTAAAGTATTTTGATGAAATTGGGTATATAACTAACTGACTGTTGCATATAGTAATATTTATTGGCCCAAGAACGAGCCCTATTGAAAATTGATTGAATGCACCAATCTCTATGACCATTTCTCATATAATGGAAACTTTTTACCAATTTTTAAATTTTTCGATAAATATCAGTAAAAAGCAATATTCTAATATAATTCAATGCATGTAGAAGGATGGGTAGAAAGGGGAAAACTTTTTTAAACTGCCTATCCGATAAAAAATTAATCTTTATAGTGGCAATAAAGTGAAACGCAATTATCTAAATTAAGGAAAACTTAAAGGAAACTGTAATCTACTTTTATGCGTAAAATATTAAGGTGTTTGCTTGTCTATTTTTAGGCATTTCTTAAAAGTTTTAACCATGAAATGTATTGTAACTGATAATAACGAATGATGCGCAATTTTTTGCGGGATTGTTCATAGTTGAAGTAATCTGAACTTTTAATGAAATTTACGCTCATTCTCTAATGGTATTTAGAAAAAATTAAATTCAAATGTTTACATAAAGTTATTTTCAGGTAATTATGTATTTCTATAAGATGCAATCTTATCGGCACTTAGGCAGCTAGGGTGCTCTAAATTTAATTTAGACTTGATATTTTTTAGAGCTTCTTGCCCCAATTTGAATGTTCGCTAACAATACTTATGAAGAGTTATGCTCTAACTTTGAGATATATTAATTTCAAGCTAAGGTAAAGCGTTTCTACAAAAATTTTCAAATATATAGATGAAAAATTACAAAAAAAAAAAAGGAAAATTTATCTTTGACAAATAATTTTTAACTCTAAACATAAACGGGATTTTATTAAATAATGATTTCTAATAATTTCTTCTTTTTACCCATTGTCTCTACGTTGCGCTAATTATAATAAGTAAAATAACTCGCAAATGTGTATTTGTAGACATATATCTGCCTAAGTCTACAAAAGGGTCTCGTTTTTTGTGCTCATACATATGCATTATCATTAAACGCTAACAGACGGATAGAGTATACTTTTATACAAACGCACCCACACGGCAATTACAAAAGACAAAAGTAGGAGAAAAAAATGATGATAATATTATGCAAACTACAGTATGTGTCATAAATACTCAGTGTTGTTTTCAGATTCGTTTCAACATATTCATATATACGTATATATGTGTGTAAGCAAATATGAATGTTACACAAGGTTATATACAATAATTTTATTCGCAAGTAGATTAAGTCACAAAAAAAATTTACATATAACACAAACAAAAATGTTCATAGGACTGCAATAATAAATTATTATATACAAATATGTATATACATATATATATACATATATATATATATGCATGTATATAGAAATAAATGAAAATTATGAGAAAAATTCTACAATGCATAAATTATAGTTTCTTTTTATTATCATTTAATTTATACGTTAATGTTACAATAACTAAACTTTATATAGAAAAAAAATTATTATGTAAATAATAATTGAATTTAATTTTTAAAAAGTACATTTCATTTGTATTATTTTTTACTAGTTTATATATATATATATATATATATATATATTTATATATATTTATATATACTTACATATATAAATATCAATATTTATTTGCGTTTATCTTACAGTTTCTTTTAGCTTTTTATCAATAATAAATAAATATGTTTTACACCCACCATCGCCAAGGAAGAGAGCATTTTAACTTTGTCCCTACCCTTGTTGAACATCAAGAAACCTTCTTATCCATCCGTTTATTTAGTTTTGAAAGTCTTACAGGCGAAAAAATTGCTGGACGAGAAGTTTATGGCTTAAGCTCATAAGTCCACATATCAATCTAAGCTAAATATTATACAAACCGAAACAATAGAAAATAAATGCAAAAAACTGATGCAATTGGGACGAGGAGCGGACCCAGTAAGTCAATCCAAAAGACATGATATCGTGAGTTTTCATCATAACGAAATTTGACTTGATATAGCAAAACTCATCATTAGCAACCCTAACCAAGACAGCGGTAATCCTCCTCGCTGTTCTCAGCAGACATCACTCTTTCTGCTTAACACTGCTTGCAATAAATGACTTATCGTCCGCTCGTGGGCAGGAGGATAACAAAAAAATGGGTCATTTAGGTAGGTAGCTAATGGGCCCAAAAGATCAGTTTTCATTTCTCCATGAAGCCCACAGTCTATCATAGAGATAAGAGCAATAAGGCTTATCGCTAGATGGTAGCTGGAAACAAGTAACTCGTGTGATTTCTTTGTAAAATCTACGTTCATTTCTACGAAGAAATCAACAGAAACCTATTCGCACTCATAATAAGAACGTAACGTACGGAATGAATAATGCAATTCTACGCGAAAGTGTTAGCAATAATATGAAATTAATGAACAACGTGTCTCTGATACTCGCAATTTATGTTGCGCAAATCTTTAGACCTGCTTGCATGCAAGACCGCATCAATTTCACTGCTAAAAGGATATGTGTGTCTATGTATCAAGAAAGAAGACGACTTTTATTGCAAGCTTTACGAGGAAGATGAGTGCGTCTGCAAATATTCACTTTTTATCGAGGATATAGTGTGACAATAATGGTTCTCCTAGCGAACTGCATAAAATCATAATAAACAAATGGCGATGTTATGCAGGGCAAAGCATTTTGTGCCACAAGAATAACAAAGATTGCGCAACATCCCGAGCAGGTGATGACAACATGAAGTTACTGATAGCAAACTTTAGTGAGGGTCGCTCTCGATCTAAAACGTTATATAATCTTTATTAGATATGGAAAAGAGACTTAACAACATCACTGCTTATCAGATTTGCCCAATTGTTAGACTTAAAAATGATCCCAATCCGATAAGCAGCTTTCGCTAACAGTTAACAATATAATTTTGAATGTTTTGTTCTCTTTTAAATCGCAGATTGGTGGGTGTAGTCCGGTTCGCCTTAGGGTCGAATATAATTTTCTTAATTGTTTTTAATATTAAGTAGAGCATCCAGAAATTTACTTACAAATTGCTACATTTTTGCAAAACAAATTAATTTAAAAATTTTTTATAATATTTCTTTTCATTCTTGTCTTTCTATCAACCATTCTCTGCTGGATGTTCGCTATTCGTTTCTTTCTTTAAATTTTTGTTTTTTTTGTTATTGGTTTTGACAAATTCCTAAAATTGCTTCAAATTGCAAAGGCACTCGTACTATACAAGATGGCGATTATGAAATCATAGTAGTAGATGAAAACAACCCGTCAGTGCTGGCAGATAATGATTCACACTCAAGCGGACCCCCTTCAATTAAGGTAAGTGTGTAAATCTTACTCGAATTTGTTCACTTTTTTTTACAAATGTACGAGTAGTATAAGTATTCAAGTGAATCCTATAGCAACCAAATACATTAAATGAATATAAATGGCTATATATATATGCATATATAGCTAGCAACATTGCGATTGTTACTTAGAGAGAAAATTCATTATTATTATATATGTAAAGAATTCATTTTGATGACTTCATTACGGCGCTGACAACGCCCTTAATCAAAAGACTTATCCACAAAAGAATTCTTGCTGTGAATTCAAATGAAGCATCCAACTATCCAGCATTGTTGGCCTACATTAGCATTTTTTTTTTTTTTTTTTTTGAAATCTAAGAAAGCGTAGTTTGCCACTTATTTTTATTTTTTATAATTTTTTTTTCTTTTCGCTCAGTAAGAGTTTTGTAATTTCCTTTAAAAGAAACGGTAACCCTTGGAGTATTCATACTTGATTTTCTTATTGATTTTTATTTTCTCTGTTTTTAGAAATTATGGTTTATAAGCTTTATTATTATTCTATTTCTTCTTACCTAAAAATCCCGTTCCTCTGCTTTCTCTTAAGTACTCTAAAGGCTTGTAGCCTTTCAATTAACGCAATAAATTATTACAGTTTCTCATCTAATTCAGTGGAACATAACTATCACTCCATACATTCTTTTGTGCCATGCAATTTTTTAGTTTATGCGAGACATTTGAAGGGAAGGTGCAAGCATACTGGCATGCCTTAATTTTACTTTTAAGAATTTTTCGAGAATGCAATAACAATCATAACAATATTAATAACAATAATAATATGAAAAAAATGTTTTTTTTTTTTTTTTTTTGTTGTGAGAAAAATGAAGATGTTGTAACATATTATAAATTAAATATTATCTATATGTGTATACGAATGAAGTTATAGTGAGATAAAAGATAGAAATGTCTATAGTGCCGAATCTCGCATACGTGCCACTGAGCTTTTCGTATGCTACTCTCCAACCTCTGTTCTTTGATATTCATATCGCTAGTATTGTTAAGAAAAAATTTATCCACCAGGTCGCGGTGTCTGCCAAATTCATTTTAAAATTAACTCATTTTTAGGCAGATAATATAACTTCGTGTGAGGAATGTGCAAAATTGTTTTAAGAACTGTGTCTTGTTTGCCTTACGTCTAATAAGCATAAAATGTCAGAAAAGTAAGAGAAAGAAACGTAATTTAATCGCTGGTTACTTTATGTGGGCACGATTGAGATTTTCTATTTTTGCACGTAAAGATTAGACTGTTTCACAGAGTAAATGGGGAAAATTTTAGCTTTCTAACTTTTATAATTTGTGAGTACTGAGCAAAAACCCACAAATTTTTGTTCAGAAAAACGCAGTTGCGTTCCGTTTTTTGCTCCACTGCGGGCTTCTGCTCTGATCAATTTGGCTCATTTTCAATACCGACCTGCAGTGTTTCTACTAAATTTGAAATCGATACCTTCATCTATGAGAATGCCAACAACAAACATCGCACGAACACAGAGACACACAAGCGCACAGACACACATACGGACAAATCGATTCCGAGGCTTTCTTTTGGGTGTTACGTACGTACATTATGCAAAAAAAAGAAAAACAAAATAAATATGCCCCCATCTTACAGTGGTGGGTATTAAAAGAGAATTTCTTTTTGGCTTGGATGGAAAATTAACACAGTAACAATATTTCAGGAGGGAGGCTGAACGAAAATTTTTTCCCTTAAAATGATTAAGAAATTGGCAACACCGCAACCATTCTCTGGAGACCTCGATCTTGAGCTCAGACAACCCTGCAGCAAGCAATGTAAATGGTCCAAGCTTGAGTTAAAACAAAAAATTCATTTAATCTACGTCTCTATACGTGAAAGTTTTTTAAGTAATTGATTTTTGTGTAGAGCATTTACGTGTTTCTTTGGAGGATCTTATGCTATAAATGCTGAACTAAAAATTATTTGAGTTAACCCGCTTGCCGTTTTCAAAGATTGTGCTTCGAAAGAAACGTTTATAAAATTTCCAATGCCCGCACTTACTGCCATACAATTATTTTCGAAAAATCAAGCCTCTAGCATTGGAAATTTTATCACGCCCACAATCGTTACTTTATGTCATGCTTAACGGTTTAGGCAATCATTTAAGCCAATAAAATACAAATTGTTTTTCGAAAAATTAACAGTGGTCTCGGCACCAATCCCCCAATTTAATCTAAGCAATGTTTCTAATATTTAGCTTGTGCTCCTAATCAGAATTAATTAATTAGCAAAATTCTAGGAAAGAATATAAAGATTTACTCTAACAATAGCACCGTAATTTTTATATTGTTTTATGTGCTATAAGTTGGTTGAAGATCAATTGCTTTCATTTTCGAAGCAATTCTTGCAGATGAACACGATCTTCTTTCACTCGCATTCTTCGCAATTTGAAATGAACTGCGAGCGGTATGCCTTGAACTAATGCAAGATATTTGATTCTAGCCTTAGTTATACATGCTCGGTATGTAAACATTTCCCACCACTTTTCATTAATTGCTAAACAACAACGTCGGTTTTTTGCCGAACATCTTGTCCAAAGTCCTTAAACATTTTTTCACGAAAAAGCATTCTTTTTGAAATGTGACAGAAAAACCAATTTTATGAGCACTCAGTACTTGAAGTAAATATACAAAACTGTTGATGCACCAAAGCTTTAGCTTGCCATCCATTAATGGGAAAAATTATATAGAATTGTTTTAGTAATTGACGATGCCTACGGCCATCTTAAATAAACTCCATTGGAAAATGTATAAACCTAATCTTTCTTATATACCAGAGCAGAAATTAATTAACATTACAGTAACGACGAGGCGATTATTGCTCGCTTCAGAAGCGATTTTTAGTCAATCGCGATGAATAGCATTGAGCCATTGAAATAACGATAATTTCTATTTCTTATGCTAAAAAAACAAAAAAATAAAAATATTGCACTCTAATCCAGTTTTTCTTCTCTCTGTGACAGGATTAAAAATATCGTGCTAAAAAACAAACTCTTTACTTGAATACATAATGTATTTTAAATAGAGTTCAAATATCGAGATGCTCTATGGGGGTTTTTATATATATTATTATTAATTATCGGCTTCTGTCTTATACCAAAATATAAAATATACTAAAAATCATATCTAATCATCATGTAAATGCTTGCCTTCCCGTGGGACCGTTATATGGGAAAAGGTCCAAAACCTGCACCTGCACCTGCACCGATATAATCCAAACTTGATAAAGTTAATTTCTTTTGAGTCAAGAATTTACTATTTTTTCCTACTTTTCGTGATAAAATATCTAGAATTAGATTTTGTTACAAAACGCACTGCTAATGAAGATTTGTGTATATGGTCTAAGCATACCACAGCACATTTTTAGCCAAACGCCTGTCTAGATCAATTTTGTTTATAAAACTCAAAAAACTCAACCGTTTATACTGTGTAAAGGCGAATTTTACGTGAGATGATCCAAATCGATTCAATTCGATCCAAATCTTCCACATATTAATATCAATAATAGCAATCTTTTTTCATATAGGGAGAGACTTTCGTTTAAATAACGCGTCATATGAGGAGACAAGCGTTTAGTAGACAGACGGACAGGCAGCAACGTCTATGGAGAAAGTAGCCGTCACCGCAAGATTGAGTTAATATAAACAATAATTGTATGGACGATTCCACAATATACAATTTTCTTCATTGCTTTTATGAATGAAAAATATCCGTGTTGTTGGATAAAATTTTGTTTCAGTAGAGTAAATATTAGCTGATAACTTTCAAAACTCGATGTTCTTTATTAAGAAACAAACTCACTTCACCTAAATCTTGATAAATAAGTAGGCGACATAAAATGTTACAAAATTTAAAAAAATGTTTTCATCGCTAATATTAATGTAAAGTTTTATAGAAACATTAAACAGAACGGAAGTGCTTATATATTTATCAGTCCGCTGCCAATTGACAAAACACCAAATGGTCATCGTAGTGGCCACTCAAGATTAAGCTTATAAAAAATATAAAAAGGCTTTTTTCCCATTTGTCTGTAACATAGTGAACTTGCTATCGGCTTAACGGATGAGCGTTTTATATCCGAAAATATTCGAAATCAAGCGGGATTCGAAAGCCTATTAAAACAATGAAACATTTTCATTTTTCTCTAGATACTTACACGTTTGTGCATATATTTAAATATAAGTCATTTATTTATTTTAATTGTAATTATTTTAATATTTCCTTTCCATTTTATTTAATAAAATTTTGCATGTGTTTGTTATCTTTATACCCACATGCATATGAAACTTAAACATAAATAAAAAAAAAAAAATACATGTATAACTAACTATATGTAAACAAAAAAACACCAGAGCCCGAAAGCGAAGAATAAAAAACCAAAAAAAACTAATGCTACAATAACAACGACAAGAGTAACAGCAAGAGATCCAAATACAACTTCTACTGCAACCGCAACTACCTCAATAATAAATTTTAGTACAACAATAACGACAACAGCAAGAATAACAAGTATAACGGCATTGCCAAAAAGTAGCAATAATAACAATAATAATAATAAAAATAACAATAGCTTAAATAAATTACAACAACAGCCACAGCCCCTAATGCCACCCAAATCAGTGATGATGTCACAAAAGTTAATGAAGGTAAAATGAAAAAAATAAAAACACCAAATGAGAAAATTTACAAAAATAGAAGAAAATAATAACAAACTGATAAACACTTAGACAATATAATCACAATATAATCACCTATAGTCACCACCTTTTTAATATAGTTCACTTTTTCGTAACTGACACAGTCTCACGTGCAATCCAAATTCCAATTATGGATTTTTGTTATCTACACGTTTCTCGCATTCGTAATTACGGTATCCATAGCGCAGTGAGAGTAAAAATGGATTAACTTTGTAAATTCTTAATAAGCTGTCGAAGGCAATTGAGCAGAGCTAAATAATATAAGCAAAATTTCAAAGACTGAAATTGAAAATATATACGTTAACGACCCCGCCCTCTAACGTTTAGATTTATTTATTTGTGTAGCTACGATTAGCAAGTACATACCAGTACGATTCACAAGAGAAATATAATGCAACATAAGCAAAAGATTGTGAGTAACCTAACCTATGAGTTGGAATGCTTAAATGTAGGTTGACATAGGCAAAAGGAAGGTGAAGACGAAGTAACAGCGACACCAACGTTTAGCAGTTATAAGTATCGTTATCTATTAGATAACACGTAAGTTCCCCTATATTCACTCTTATCCGACAAGAGTCCGACAAGAATCCGACAAGTGATAAATTTCATTAC